AAGGCAGCTCATCATTGAATTCAGTGATGTCATCATCCAGCTCAGTTCAGTTTAAATAGTATCTGTGCAATCAAGTCTATGATATCGCTGGAAATTAAGTGTCCCCAACTAAGCAAGCCAGAGAGGACAGCAGCAAGGAACCTGAGACAAGGTCTTTACAGGGGATCTGTATCTGGGGCTATCTAGTTGTCCTGGTCTCCGCTGTCTTCCTGCCCTCCCCCCCCGAACAGTGAGGAATTTCCCTTTTTGTTTGGACTTATTATAAATAAAGTTTTCCCGCTGAAGCCTGCATCTGTGTCCGTGTTGTGTGCCTGACACTCCTATAGTAGAGAATAAGTGGAATTGTTCCTCAGGGGATCTATAGCAGACTATCTGATGCGATACTGTAGCTGACGGCTGCATGGTTACAATTTCATCTCTAATAGTATTGATCTTGTAAGTAAAGTAGTTCATAAATTCATTACTGCTGTGTTGTTGGGAAATGTCAAGGGCTGTTGATGCTTTATTTTTCATTAATTTAGCCACTGTATTGAATAAATACCTGCGGTTATGTTTGTTTTCTTCTAAAAGAGACGAAAAGTAATCAGATCTAGCAGTTTTTAATGTTTTTCTTTAGGATAGGGTACTTTCCCACCATGCAATACAAAATACCTCTAATTTTGTTTTCCTCCAGCTGCGCTCCTTTTTCCGGGCTGCTCTCTTTAGGGTGAAAATGTGCTCATTATACATGGTGTCAAACTGTTTTCCTTAATCTTCCTTAAAGGGGTCATAGGATGCTACATGCACTTTTACAAGTTGTTTGAACTGAAATGTGTGTTGGCAGTGTGTGTACACAACCACCCTATAATGATAAAAATCCACCCAGTGTTTTATTTTATTTTTTTATCTAGTTAAATGTTTTCCCCTTTCTCAAATCGAGCCGATCTCAGATGCCTGTCTGTGTGACGTCACACAGACAGGCATCTGAGATCGGCACGACTCGAATGAACCGGTTCTTTTTAGTGATTCAAAAGCATACGACGCAAGCAGTGTAGTCTCGAACGAACGACTCGAATGAACCGGTTCTTTTTTAACCAAACACACACCCATAGAGATTGGGTGATCAAATGAAAACATGTATTTTAATCTCCTCCGATAGTATTTCTGTCAGTAGTTTTTCCATAAATATTAATGAATTAAATCCCTTACCAGTTTTTTGTTTGGCATTGTTTCTATGGATTGTATTTATGCTTCGTCTACAACTTTTGAACAAAATGTTTTAAATGCAATTATTTTTTAAATTATCTCAATGTGACCGAGTGGATAATAAAGATGGTGTACGGGGTGGGGCATAGGTATTTATTTTGCCCTATAAATAGCGCAAAGATTAGCAGGTTGCATGACTTCCTGACGTTTGATCCTTTCCGTGACCCTGAAGCGCTATAGCGAGAGAGATAACCCCCTGATGCAGAGTGTGAGCGCGTGGGCTGTATGTAATATTATGCAAGTTGTGGACGCTGTGTTTCGCCAATAGTAACGAGCCGTATCACGCAGGGCTTCTATTCCACTCTATTATGCAGCGTTTCTAGTCCACTTTTGGATTTCGGCAGAGATCTTCCTCTGTGGAGTTCTATGCATATGAACCTCTGATGTTTAGGCCCTGCTGTTTTGCTTATGATTTATTTTTCTCATAAGTTTTAAGCTAATGGTCATATGCTGATGTTTATTTTGAAGTATTCTTTATCTGTTATTATTGATTTTGTTAGCTGAATCCTGTTTGTACCAACCGCTAGGGGTCTATATGATGTGTGGAGAAAAGGGGAGTTTTTAACCCATTTTTCTATAGTCTAGGAGCCAGCCTGCGTGGGGAGTACTTTCCTCTGGGGTCATCTGGGCCTGTCCTTTACTGCATGTGGCGTGAGGTTTTATGCACTGCATGGGTATTGATTTGTATTATTTACTACACCTTTTTAAATGTGTTGGTTGGTGCACGTTAGTGCACGTGTGGTGTTGTGCTCTTGAGGTTGTGGGTCTTTGGCCCTGTGACGTCTTCTTTTCTTCCCGCAGGCTTGGTTGATCTTGCATTCAGGAATTGTGGGTTATGATTCTAATATTTGACATAAAATCTAGACATCTTAAAATTGTGATTCTCTCTTTTTAGATGGTTGTAAATGTGAAGTTGATTGCTTACCCAGAGATTTTAGTACTGATTGTTAATAAACAATCTGTTTCACTAATCTGTTCTTCATTCACTAGCTATAGAACTTGTGCTGCTGTGTTTAATTATTGAAAATCAGTATATTACCCCAACCTGGCATAAAAAAGCATGAATAAATCCTATGATAGCATACTTCACATTACCCCACATTAGTTAAACATACCGTAACTTCAAATGTTAGGCTGATGATACATGGGGCAACTCTTGGAGCAATTTTGCCGGGCAACTTTTTTTGAGCAATGTTGCTTGGGCACTTTCCCATTAAGAATAGGTAACAAATTTATATCTGGATACTTTAGATCAGTCGTAGGCCCTGTGTCTCACCTGGTTGCCCGTTAACAGCAACATTGCTCAAAATGTTGTCCCTTCATCAGCCTTAACTTATTTCTCTTATTTAACCAGTGGTTGGAGATCTAACTGCTCTTAGAAAAAAGTGAGATTTGAGATCGGTCTGTAATGAACTAATTCTCTAGGATCAAGTTGTGTTTTTTAATGAGAGGCTTAATAACAGTCAGTTTGAAGGTTTTGGGGACATATCCTAATGACAATTGTTACGTCCTCCCATTTAATCTAGGGGTAAATAGGGAACAACGAACAATAAACAGTGGAGAGACTTTGAGGATCTCCAGCTCTCCAGGCCCAAAATCACAAACAACCAAACTGACTTCATTTTTAAATGGCTTGAGTGCCTTTTATTCTTACTCAATCAGGGTTAAAAAAAAACTGTAATTTGAAAACAAAAATACAAACAAAGAAATATTATGTGGCTCATGTTTATTATAGTAATCTTGGGGAGTCTACTCCTAAAATGCTGACAAACCGATAGCAAACATATTTTACCCTTATTTCCAATGAACTTCTACAGACATGTTGAGCTTTGTGTCTTCAATGTGCCAGCGCCGGGAGTTAAGGGCACAGAAGCCTGCTTGTGTGAGGAGGCGATGTTCTCAGCTTCTTCAGAAGAGAGGGAAAGACGGTGAACTTCAGAATTCCATCAAGTTATCTTTTATTTTACTAAGAGTACAATTATGTTTGTTTTTGTAGATGTTGACAGCCAGAGGCATAGGAGAGCATCATTCTTTGCATCATTCTTGCCACCCCAACAATGTCTTTGCACGGTTTATCTGTCACACATCTTTTTTGTGTGTGAAGTTAACATAATGTAGCCTCTGTGTGTGCACTTCAGCTTCTCAGTTGTTTTAGCACCCGAATGTTTTGTTGTAACAGCTGACAATCCTTTAGATTTCAGAGTGAAATGACAAACCACAGAGATTACTGAAATGAGTGCAGAGATTCAGACCTCTGTGGGTTTTCTGTATGTGATTCAGTCTGTTATAATGAATCAAACACTCAGTGGAGACTGTGAGCAGAGCTGGTATTCACAGCTGAGTGTGTTTCTGTCCTAAAAGCGCTATACAAATAAACTTGAATTGAATTGTGTCTGAGAATTATGAAATGATGATGTCAGAATAATTCTTGTTTGCTAATTTTTGACCTAAAAATTTCATGTTTATTGTTTTTTACTTCATTGGAATGGTACGGTTTTGGCTCTTGCTATGTGAACACAGAACACACATGGACATGATTCAGAAAGGTCAAATGATCCTGAAAGACACCGTCACACTTGTACTGGTCACAGTCAAAATGAACTGCACTGGAAACACATGGCAAGCTAATTTCATCTATAGAGGAATAAACGTTTGGTACGTCTGACCCAAACAAAATCTCATAGTTTTGCTATATCAACCTCAAATTTAGAACAAATTGTTTAGATTCATGGCATTTATTTTCATGCCGTTTTGGAAAATAAATGATTTCGGCCTATACTTTTTTAAAAGTCTTTTTGTGCATATATCATATGAATAAACTTCAATAACTTCTTTTGTTTAGTTTTTTATACTTTTTGTCACTTAGTAATAATCTGCCAAGTGTCTGCTTTAAAAAGAGAGCACACTTAAACTGAAGTCTGTGTTCCAATGCGATTTAGCACAGTTTAAGTTGCAAATTTCATTTTCAGGTCAATCCTCAAAAAGTGGTTAACAGGTAATAAATGGATCATAACTGTTCCATAAATGACAATTAGTACCATAAAATCCCCTAAAATATGAAATAAAAAACATTATGAAACTAAAATATAGTACATTCATTTCACTGAAGTAAAAATAAATAAAATATAAAGACACCAGTTTCTGTCCTGTGCAGATTCTGCCCAGACGGTACGGATACGGTTTCATTTTCCACTGTTGGGCTGATAATGGAGCTCTTTAGAATGTAGTGCAGATGCGTCAGTAAGAGTTTACGGACAATATGAGATGGGGGAGTTTCTAAGAGAAAACAGCCCAATATCTATTACAATCTAAACTTGAGTGGAAATATGCATGGTTGCTGCCTAAAAATATCACATAACCAGTGTTGGGCAGTAACGCATTACTTAGTAACGCGTTACTGTAATTTGATTACTTTTTTAGTAACCGAGTAATTTAACGCATTATAATTTTCAAAATAGTAATTAGAGTATAGTTACAAGCTGAGGTCTCTATACGTTACTGCCGCGTTACATTGTTGACAGAATGCAGTGTTTTATAATCTAGAGATGGTAGAAAGGATTTAGCACATGCACTGTCGAGTCCAGTGCCAGTGGATTAGAGACCTGCTCCCGCGAAACCTGACACAACAGAGCGCGGCACGGTAACTAGTAATGTAACTAATTACTAATTACTTTTGAAATAAAGTAATCAGAACAGTAACTTGATTGAACTGAACTGCTTTTGTGTTTTTCTCTCTCAGTCTCACATGCCTCAGAAGTCTGTCTGAAATCACTTTCTGCAGGAAGTCGTCACAGCTTTCGGACGCAGACGCAGCGTTGAGTCTTCTGAGCAGAGGAGAGCAGTTCACGGTATTTCTTTACATGCAACAAAATGTGCGATCGTTTCTGCCTTGTTTCCATCGAGTACAGCGCTGGAAAATTTCTACTCCACGAACTTGGAAAACAGCGGTAATGGCATTTACCTGTTGTCTGCAGCGTAGTGTTCTTTTCTCAGCCTCGATGATAACAGTGCAAGTTGTTATAGGAGATTTAGTCAGACTTTCATGCTCTTTCAATCACGTAAATTGTGCGTTTACGTTCCATCTCCGTTATCAGGAAACCCAAGACGAGCAAAAAAAACATCCTCCATTCACCGGTTGTTGATGTTTGTAAATGGCATGAATAAAGACGCCGCTGTCGGCCGCTTCAGAGTTCCTGCTGCCGGTGCGAATGCCACCAGAGATTGGTTCTCTAAGAACGACCCTGCTGGCTAGTTCCTAGAACTACGCGGCACGAAACCACCTAATGTTGTAGTAAACGCTAGCGGCCAGACTGACTCACTGAATGTGTGAGCTACAACTTTACAAAAAAATCTTTTGGTGAATTACAGCATTTATTTATTTGTATCTGAGTACTGTACTTGTATAAAGAGAGGTAATTGAGGTAGAGTGTTTTAACATTGCATTTGTGTACTGTGTACATATGAAGAGAGGCGTTGGCAAAATGTCGCCTGCATTAAGTCAATCTGGGCACTAGGAATGTACTACAAACTTCAGTACGCGAACATATTTTAATGAATTATAATCAGGTTTTTTTTAGTAAGTCATTCTAGTCACTAGGAACCTACTACAAACGTGTGTGTTTTTGAATTATTTTTGCATTTTAAAAGTTATGAAGGCTAACTCTGAGACAGCATTTAGAGTTGTATCTTTGGGAATCATTGTATTACGATATTATATTACTATATTGGCCCAAAAACCACTGCCTTACATTTGGCTAATCTGCTTTTCCACACAGAAATTCATGTTCAGTGAAGCCCCTCACAACAATCTAACATTCAGCAATTCAGCATTAAATATCTCCATCAGTTCACAAGAGAAGACCAGCATCAAATCATCAGGAAGAAATCTGCAAAGACTGAGTTTATTAAAGAGGACAGAGAGAAGATGAGAGATCCAGAACCCTGCAGAATCAAACACACTGAAGATACTGAAGAACTAACAGGTTGGTGTTTATTCCTCATTAATGAGGCTGACGGTTATACAGCTTCACACAGTTTTATGTTTTGTTTGTTGTAATTGGAAAAGTCTTTAGAACTATTGAATAATTTTGCTGAAGCATCAAATAATAAGGGACACTTCCTATGAACTGGGTACTTTTTTTTAGTAACGCGTTACTGTAATTTGATTACTTTTTTAGTAACCGAGTAATTTAACGCATTATAATTTTCAAAATAGTAATTAGAGTATAGTTACAAGCTGAGGTCTCTATACGTTACTGCCGCGTTACATTGTTGACAGAATGCAGTGTTTTATAATCTAGAGATGGTAGAAAGGATTTAGCACATGCACTGTCGAGTCCAGTGCCAGTGGATTAGAGACCTGCTCCCGCGAAACCTGACACAACAGAGCGCGGCACGGTAACTAGTAATGTAACTAATTACTAATTACTTTTGAAATAAAGTAATCAGAACAGTAACTTGATTGAACTGAACTGCTTTTGTGTTTTTCTCTCTCAGTCTCACATGCCTCAGAAGTCTGTCTGAAATCACTTTCTGCAGGAAGTCGTCACAGCTTTCGGACGCAGACGCAGCGTTGAGTCTTCTGAGCAGAGGAGAGCAGTTCACGGTATTTCTTTACATGCAACAAAATGTGCGATCGTTTCTGCCTTGTTTCCATCGAGTACAGCGCTGGAAAATTTCTACTCCACGAACTTGGAAAACAGCGGTAATGGCATTTACCTGTTGTCTGCAGCGTAGTGTTCTTTTCTCAGCCTCGATGATAACACTGCAAGTTGTTATAGGAGATTTAGTCAGACTTTCATGCTCTTTCAATCACGTAAATTGTGCGTTTACGTTCCATCTCCGTTATCAGGAAACCCAAGACGAGCAAAAAAAACATCCTCCATTCACCGGTTGTTGATGTTTGTAAATGCCGTGAATAAAGACGCCGCTGTCGGCCGCTTCAGAGTTCCTGCTGCCGGTGCGAATGCCACCAGAGATTGGTTCTCTAAGAACGACCCTGCTGGCTAGTTCCTAGAACTACGCGGCACGAAACCACCTAATGTTGTAGTAAACGCTAGCGGCCAGACTGACTCACTGAATGTGTGAGCTACAACTTTACAAAAAAATCTTTTGGTGAATTACAGCATTTATTTATTTGTATCTGAGTACTGTACTTGTATAAAGAGAGGTAATTGAGGTAGAGTGTTTTAACATTGCATTTGTGTACTGTGTACATATGAAGAGAGGCGTTGGCAAAATGTCGCCTGCATTAAGTCAATCTGGGCACTAGGAATGTACTACAAACTTCAGTACGCGAACATATTTTAATGAATTATAATCAGGTTTTTTTTAGTAAGTCATTCTAGTCACTAGGAACCTACTACAAACGTGTGTGTTTTTGAATTATTTTTGCATTTTAAAAGTTATGAAGGCTAACTCTGAGACAGCATTTAGAGTTGTATCTTTGGGAATCATTGTATTACGATATTATATTACTATATTGGCCCAAAAACCACTGCCTTACATTTGGCTAATCTGCTTTTCCACACAGAAATTCATGTTCAGTGAAGCCCCTCACAACAATCTAACATTCAGCAATTCAGCATTAAATATCTCCATCAGTTCACAAGAGAAGACCAGCATCAAATCATCAGGAAGAAATCTGCAAAGACTGAGTTTATTAAAGAGGACAGAGAGAAGATGAGAGATCCAGAACCCTGCAGAATCAAACACACTGAAGATACTGAAGAACTAACAGGTTGGTGTTTATTCCTCATTAATGAGGCTGACGGTTATACAGCTTCACACAGTTTTATGTTTTGTTTGTTGTAATTGGAAAAGTCTTTAGAACTATTGAATAATTTTGCTGAAGCATCAAATAATAAGGGACACTTCCTATGAACTGGGTACTTTTTTTTCAACAAAATGTATGTTAGATTGAGTCTCCACGGCAGATAGTTAAGATCCAGTCCCGGATGCCAGATCCTGTCAGAAAATATCCATTTTGTCTGGTGTCCGAACAAATAGTCAGCAGAGTTATCGATACCCAAAACCCATTAACATCAAGTCATGTCTGGTACCAAAACTGTATTAACAGCCTTCTATCAACCAAGAAGTTGACTGAGGAAAGCCAGAGAAGAGCAGAAGCAGGAGATGAAGTGATAATGTTAAAAAGATCCAGAGTTTATTGAAAAATCTTAGTTGTGTGTGTTTCAGTGCTCAGACTTCATCTGACCAGCACACATCCAACAAGTAGTGTTTTACCAACCACAACAACATCCCATAAACCTCGAGTTTCCATAAACATTGCCTCTTATCTCTTATTCATACAGACAAAACAGTTAATGAAACCTCAAAAAAAAATATATATATATATATATCTGATAAAGATAATTAGACGATATTTTGCTGAGTGTGCTATTGTGCTGGTATCTTAAGGATTGCCGTGGACAGCTGACTCCTAAAGTTTGTGATATTCTTCTTATTCTGTGTGGTGATCAGCTCACAGCAGTGACACAAATCAATCTTTTCCAATAAGTTTAAATTGATTTTTACCTTTTATGGGCATTTTTACCTTTATAAAGCCATTTTTTTCTAAAAGTGTGCATCATCTTGATTCAAATTCTTACATTTGATCAGTGAATTAGAATAATAAGTCCTTTGGTCAACAAAATTCATCTTTTTGCAATGCAGAGGCAAGAGAAGCTGCATCTGAAGTGGCATTTAGATATATTTACACACTTTTTAATGCAGAACATGAATGCAGTTAACCTGCCGTTACAAATGCATAAATAATGTTTTGATATATTAAACATAAAACGTTGAATACTGATATTTGTAATTATAAAAAAAAAAAATGAAAGGATACTTTAAATGTGAAATTAAAACCGCCAGTAGGTGGCAGCAAGTCACTGTTAATAAGTGAATCATTGCAAATGAACTGGATTATTTTAAACGGTTGATTCATTCAGGAACAAAACGCCGTTGTGTTGCTCAGAGACACAAAACAGTGCTGTGGCTGTGCGTGGAAATATTTTTGTTGGTGAAATAGAGCAAAAACAGGCAATTTGATGTCAAAATACCTGTCTTGGCGAGTGTTCACGTAAACTCAGTTGGTTTCTGCAGTGCTTAGTTTGTAAATCAGAGGAGGGAGAGGTAACGGAACATTTGCGCATCACATTGATGGACCAACTGAAGTGATTAGCAGCTTGCATCAGTTGCTTTTATAGTGTGCACATGTACTCTAAAAAAATTGTGGTTATTTTATTTCAACATTTTTTAGTGTTTGGGTAGTTTCTGTGTAACCCAGCTCCTGGGACAGGACAGTTGCAACAACCCAGTGGTTGTAATGAGCACGGATATTTTGCATCCTCTTCAGGTGAGAGTAGTTCTCAGTGCCGCCGACTTGCATTTCTGTGGTAAAATGAAGGTTTGTGTATGTTTTATTTAATCTATGAAACAGTTTCTTTGCTTTGCATAAAATAAAATGATTTACAGCAAACTAAAGGGTCGTGATATCAGTCACCTAAACCACCAATCTTTTCGCCAGGATTACATTTTTAGGTTTAATGTCCACTTCTAAAATGCATGTTAAAAGAGTTTAAATGTATGCAGAACATGAATGCAGTTAACCTGCCGTTACAAATGCATAAATAATGTTTTGATATATTAAACATAAAACGTTGAATACTGATATTTGTAATTATAAAAAAGAAAAAAGAAAATATACTTTAAATGTGAAATTGGGAGTTGAAAACCAGTAGGTGGCAGCAAGTCACTGTTAATAAGTGAATCATTGCAAATGAACTGGATTATTTTAAACGGTTGATTCATTCAGGAACAAAACGCCGTTGTGTTGCTCAGAGACACAAAACAGTGCTGTGGCTGTGCGTGGAAATATTTTTGTTGGTGAAATAGAGCAAAAACAGGCAATTTGATGTCAAAATACCTGTCTTGGCGAGTGTTCACGTAAACTCAGTTGGTTTCTGCAGTGCTTAGTTTGTAAATCAGAGGAGGGAGAGGTAACGGAACATTTGCGCATCACATTGATGGACCAACTGAAGTGATTAGCAGCTTGCATCAGTTGCTTTTATAGTGTGCACATGTACTCTAAAAAAATTGTGGTTATTTTATTTCAACATTTTTTAGTGTTTGGGTAGTTTCTGTGTAACCCAGCTCCTGGGACAGGACAGTTGCAACAACCCAGTGGTTGTAATGAGCACGGATATTTTGCATCCTCTTCAGGTGAGAGTAGTTCTCAGTGCCGCCGACTTGCATTTCTGTGGTAAAATGAAGGTTTGTGTATGTTTTATTTAATCTATGAAACAGTTTCTTTGCTTTGCATAAAATAAAATGATTTACAGCAAACTAAAGGGTCGTGATATCAGTCACCTAAACCACCAATCTTTTCGCCAGGATTACATTTTTAGGTTTAATGTCCACTTCTAAAATGCATGTTAAAAGAGTTTAAATGTAAGAAATATTGTATACATGTTTAAATGATAAAATATGTTGTATTAAGGACTGTATTTAACGAAAATAAAGTCAATTAGGCAAAGCAAGAAAGAAATTAAATTAAATGAAAAACTAAAACAAACGAAACTAACAGCAGTTGGTGAAATCCTAACTGAAATCAAATAATAATTTTAACATGGGGTGTCTATGGGACTGACTCACTATTGGAGCCAGCCTCTAGCGGCCAGTCGATGAATTGCAGTTTTAGTCACTTCCGTGCTGGTTTCACGAGAGAGAGCGGGAGGTTGCTGCTTGGATTCTTGGGTGGGGAGGGGGCGTGGTCAATGGGAAATAGTCCTGCCACCACAGCTGGAAAAAATCTTAGAGTATTTTTTATCCTAGTAATGTTTAATTTGTATCAGTTTAACGCTTCTCGCAGCTATGTGAAAAATATCTGTCTGTCTATACACATAAAGTGTATAACTGGAACACAGTTCATTGATGGAGCTGAATCAGGTGAGAGAGAGAGATGCAGAGTAGGGTTACG